AGATTACGTGCTGAGTAGATTACCATTTACCAGTTGTGTTGAGTCGATTTTATCAACATCACTAGCCAAAATGACGCGTGAGTATCGTTCAGTCCTTGAATTCAACTTGGTTGACTCTAGAGGTCGCAAAAGTCTCTTCCCAGCGTTGATTTGCAGGGATTTGATTTAATTGGTTACAGAATTTCATCATGAGCTGAGAACCATTGGAAAACCACAGAGTACGTGATACATGTTTTATTCTGGTTCTGGATTCTTCAAAAATACTAACCCGCCAGGGTTCGAACCCAGGAGCTTGAGGTTACAAGCTGAGCTGATAAATTATTCAGAATTGGGACCCGATCCAATGGCTCAGGAATTCTGCCAATTCACAACATAGGATACAATAATAGTAATAATAATACAACATAGCGCGACCACTAGCGAATGTCATCGGTGCGTATTTGTCGTAACACCCTACCTACTGTAACCCACTGGTCACGACTTTGCACTAGAACCCAGGTAACTAACTTCTTTTCGTGACATCCATTCTGAATCCAATCAAAAATATTGAGTAAAGTAATATTTAGGTGTTCTAATTTGCTAGGATTCGGTTAGTTTCTAGCGTAAATTTCATCACAAGCAAACTTATGTCAGTTAGAGAATCATCGAAAGTCAGAGAGCCTTGATGAACATATTGATATTAGAATTAAATAGTAAGTATAACTACATCATTGGAATCTATTTTACTTACAACCAACCAAAACTCTGCAGTCACTCATTTAGTTTGTTTTCAAACTTGAACTCTTTCCACCAACCTACTAATGCCGGAATAGTACAGAACAAGATTGTGAAGCACCCACCATACATTGATTTCGTGTTTATGTTTGTTCCTGAGTATAATGGTAGTAGATGTAATGACGAATATTGTTTTCTAAACGAGCATCAGTAGTAGTACATTGATGGGAATGCATGCCAACTATGTACGTGGTCCAGGGTTCGATACCCAGTAGATGATTTACTCCTAAACTTCACTTAGCGGTTAGTAAGCCCAGAAGGAAGGTTGGACATGGGAATCCTGCAACCCTAACTCGTAAAAGAATAACGTCACAATTGAGACTGCAAAGCTCAAGCTAGGAAGGTAAAGAAATGGAAATTAAAGAGAGAAAAAACACAACAACTATGAAATGTTGGCACAAACGACTTAAAATAATCACTGATAAAATCTTGCATGAAACTCATCGCTGTGTAATTTAGTTTCGTGACAGGTTTTACACTGTTTCATGTGTCTTATTACCTACACATAGATCTTATCACTTTCTCACAAGGCAGATATACTCTGATAATGCCTATGTGTACAGAAAAATGATAGACAGCATTGTTGTTAGCATTGATATTCATTTGATACAATATTCAATATTGATGGGCAGGTTGTTGGCGAAAGATAATGTACTCGTCAACATTCTTTGTAGCTTGAAGTGTTGATATTTTGTGTGTTTTTGTTTCTTATATTGTAAACTACAGTTTAGTGGGTACTGGGGGTTCTAGTTCAACAAGAAGAATCACTTAATCCTGCTGATAAATTCTTAAGTGAGGTGTAACGCGCTAAACACCATATACTAGAAACTTTTTAACTGAATACCAAATAAGTAAACTCTGTAGATATATCTTGAAATCAGTTAAATCCTCACAAACGCACTACTGTATATACTTTCTATCGCTTACTAATGACTAGCTTCGAAATCGATATCGTGCAGTTTAATTAAGATTTCTTAACCGGTGGAGTCCATCAAGCTGTGTGTGTGTGTGTGTATGCGTGATATCTCATTCAGCTATTGGGACCCCGATTCAGTGGTTCATGAATTCTGACTTCTACCAATTCGTGATTTAGCGCGACCCCAACTATTGTCGTAGGTGCAACATCCATCCTCACACGTGACATCTGGATGGACCTCACTGGTCACGACTACTCACTAGAACTCCAGGAAACTCTATCCTGGCTCAAGTCACTAGCGAGCATCAGATTAATTTTCTATAGCTCGGTTTGTAAGGGTTAGTTTTGTTTATACGAGTTGATCACGGATTGATATCGGTTAGAGGACCATTGAAAACCAGGGAGTGCTGGACAGCTGTTTCATCGTAGTTTGGGAAGCTTTGGCAGCACGCACCCACTGTGATTCGAGCTTGCCTTGTAATCGGAGGGTCCTGTTTTCGAACCCCAGTGGGTGCGTACTGCCGATGATTCCCAAACTAGGAATATTGTATCTGTTTCGCCACATGGTTGTATGTGTTAAGGTGAAAATCGCAAAGCGATGTCTGTTTGAGATCAGATATGTAACCGATCCAATCCCTGCAAACCAGCACTTGAAAATTAATCTGATGCTTACTGGTTACTGGCTCTATACAGAAATTTATCTGAAGTTCTAATGAGAAGTCGTAACCAGTGGTGTCCACCAAGGAAGGTGAGACATCAGTTACTCGCCTATATCGCTGACTGGAGGTTCTGCTCTATATGTATCACGAATTGGCAGAATCTGGAATTCATGAGCCATTGCATGGGTCGAGTGCCAATGGCTGAATGGTCTACAAGCTCGCCTCGTAACTAAAAGTTTATGTGGGTTTGTATTGCTGAACTGAAGTGAAATAGGTATCCAGTACTCTCTGGTTTCCTAATGGTTAATGGTTGTTCTCTAACTGAAAACTGTAACCAATCAAATCACTGGAGAACAACACTTGACAACTTATTTCTAATTACTGTTTATTATTGTTGTTATCATTCAACTTCTGCAGCAAATTCGGTTCGTTCTTTTCGTGGTGGTTATGAAATTTCCTTCGTACTCGTTAGCTATTTTCTGTTAAGTACTATGAATAACATAGGTGTTGCCTAAAAGATACATACAAAACAGTCAATCAGTGGATAAACGCCTTTCATAACAGTTGTCAGATAAAAGAGTTCAACTAGCATTCAGGAAATAATGCCCTTGTTAACTTATTTCGAGGAGAAAGGTGGCTTATTGTCTTCAGCAGTCGACTTTCGTCAAGTGGGTCCTGGGTTAGAACCCCACCACCTCTTATTTCAACCTGCATAGTTTCACCATCCTTCACACAGTAGGTGTGTCTGATAGCTTGGCATATAGAAGACGTATTTCTGGGACTGAGTCGAAGCAGTCAAATATATATGACTTGTATGTGTTTAGAAGGAAGTAGGCAGTAAGTAACAATTTCAAGGTACATTTCATCATCCTATTTCGAAAGCTTTTGAAAAAGATTTATTCTCAAATAGTTTTCTTTACCTTCGTAATCATAGGCGGTTATCCTTTTTTTCTAAGAGAAAATATAATTGTCACTATTGTAGTTTTACAATCGTCATTCTTTTATTTAATATTCACTTATCTCATCCACTCATCTGCATAATTTCCTCCGGTGATTACGTAATCACCTCTCCAAACGTCTTCGTCTTGCTTGTTTCTTTCTAACCATTCGAATATTTCTTTTCCTCATTTACTTATCTCATAAATGCCTATATGCACTGCTTCAAACTGCCTACGCCCTTAAAGAATGATGTAATTTGTAATAGTTGAAAGCATGCGAAAAGATATTACGAACTTTTGTTAATATAGGTATTATCTTTTGATTCTCCGTGTTCCCAGTGCAACTAGTGTTGAGATTAGATAAAGTCATGTAGATAACGGCGACAAATCAATCGATGTAGGCGTGAAACTTCATCAGACGAGATTTTTGAATACACATATATCATACACTTTAAATCACTAATGGTGAATTAATTTGAAAACGACATTTTATGCGTTATCAAACTAAAAACATGGTAACAAACTATGACGTGAATGACTATTTATTCAAATCACTTAGTGACATATAGGTTGCTTGCCACTATGTTAAGCACCAGTGTGCTTGGAGACTTTACGATGTCATGTTTTCGAAAAGTGTTCACAATGACTCAGAAAGAAGTATTCACTACTTATCATTGAAACTCTCTGAATACATTTTATAACCTCCTTTGGTTGTATTGCCTGAGGCAAGCAATTGAATTGTCCTCCAAGACAGTATTTTCAGCATATTAACTTCAAATTTTATGTTATCACTGAAGATGTTGTTGTATAGTGGGACAATGAAAGCCTCACGGTGATGAAGCATTCAGCTCAGAGAACTGATCAGTATCAAAGACATTCACCTGAACTGTAAATCTTCTCTATTATTCACTTTAAAATTCGACTGTGATGTGCTTCTGTTACTAGGTTCCACGTTAAACTGCTTCTCAATCATTTTCTAAATATCAATATAAGGCTCAAATACACGTAAATGTATGCTTAGTATTATTGGATCTGTTGCCTATTGATGAGTACATCTGGTTTTCCTTTTATATATTTTTTTCCGTGAATGCTCTCTGTAATTTTGTAAAAGGCTATGCGTGTTCTTAGCGAATTCACCTCTGAAGAACAGTCAGTAACGTGCTAGTAGGAAATTAGTTTCCATGTTAATATTTCACATTGTAAGAGGATATTAAATAGTTATAATAGAAGTTGTGACCATCCAGGTATTGAATACACTTCAGTTGTACATCGAGTTAACAATTCTCTGCGCAAACTACTCTTCTTCAGTTGCCATCTTTTAACACTAGAACCTAAGATTTCTGCACTAAAACAAAGATTTTCTTATGTTGCTTCTCAACGATTACACAACCAAATTAATAAAAACCCTTTTTTTAACAAGGCAAATTTCTTCTCGAATCGACATCATCTGGAGAATTGTCGAGAAGCAGGATACACTTGACGGTTGTTTCCTTCTAGCCTGAGACTGTTTAGTAGTGTGCACTCGCGGTTTCATTGGGTCTCCTATGTAAGGTCTGCAGGTTATAAGGCGACACCTTTGACCATTCAGCCATTGGGCTGGAATTCTAAACCCCCTGTCATATATTAAAAATACTCATTATTAATTAATATTCAGATGAGTTTAACCAACTGAATTAATAATTCTGTTAACCTCAATATTTGTTTTCCTTGTAGATACGTCGACACTACACTGTAAATTCTTCAAAAGAACCTGTCTATCTGAATAATGCAACCCATAGTAATTCAAAAGTATTTCAGTGCAATGGTGTTGATGTTCCTCGAAATAGTCAAAAACACACGAAGCCGTCTAGTTCAGTGGAATCTTCGCCTGAAATAACTAACAAGGAGAATAATTGCCAATTTGTTCATTTATTAAATTCAAATCACAATAATATAACCAATCTACCAGTCGATAATAATGATGATAATAGTAGTAGTACTTCTACTGGAAATACTATTAATCGTTTTTGTCGCCCAATTGCAAGTAGTTGTCATCCTTCGCATAGTCCAACAAGTTATCAAGCGCCTGTTCGTCTTCGTTTAGAATCGCTTACTCCTGAATGGAATAATGATAGCCTATTATCGTCAAGTGATAGATATAATTCTGAACCGCTACCGTCAGTCTTTCCAAAAACTAATTCTTCCTTTAATGATATAGTGAATACAACTACCAATGGTAGTGGTACTCATACGCCAGGTGTTATAAATAACTCCTCTTCAGAAGTTATTTCTTCACATGTTGTTCCTTCCACATATAGTACAGAAAATAATTTCATGAAAGTAAGTTATTTCAGCTTTGCGTCTTTTTATGAAATGGTATTAAGGAGACGTTGATGGAGGTCGATGGATATACATTTGTATTACAATATATTTTTTAATGTTTAAAAAAATTTAATATCGATGGAAAGTGTGTCCTAAGTCACCGTTTAGGACTAGAATTCCAAGTGATGAATTAATGCATTCATTACACTCCTACACAGGACGTCTTCGTGACATGTGAATAGTTCAGTCACTTAACGTCTGGGAAAATGCAGACAGCTTTTGATGACACAGATTCCAATTTTGAAGAAGTGGGGAGAGTAGTTCTTTTGAGGTTGCATATAAGCCAATTGGTACGAAACTTCAGTTTGGTGCTACTCGCCGACTGTATCCAACCATCTAAGATAAATTTTTCTCCTATAAAACCTCTATTACTAATGATCTTCCTGATTGTGGTACGCTGGGTCATGCGGGAGACCGTATGAAGTGAGAAGAGAAGCATACGCTGAACTGACGAAAACACCTTGGAGCACATGGGTTTTGCGAATTATCCATGTCCCGTACGGCGTAAACTCAAATATATATATAAGATATACGATAGGATGATTGGCCGAAAAGAATAAGAGAGCAACGGGGAACTGTGACGGCTAATTAACCAAGAACTTCTTGTCCAACAAATATGTAAAAGGAAGTGACGTTGATTTAGACATATGCTAAGAAGACTTTTGTCCGACATTGCACGTCAGGTGCCTTAACCCGTAAGAGACTTGATAAGTTGGGTGTAAATCCTATGGTAACATGGTGGACGAAATAAAAGTATGTAGGCAGCCATGAAGCCAGCTAAAAGTTACATCAGAAGACAGAGTACATTTATGTTGTTGGCTTTATTTCTCTGGAAGGATAGATGTGCTGTCATTGTGATAAGTACTTGAGAAGGGAGATGCTAGAAACACTGATGAATTATGTTTCCCCCCCTCCCCCTTTCAACTATGGGTGTTTTCATTATCCTAATAATTGATTTAAGAATGGCTTTATTCAAAACCGTCACGTACTATTCTTTTGTAATGTTTTGCAATCGGACTCCTTTGAAATATGATGGTGAGGGTGTCACTAAATCTGATGTTAATAAATGACTCATCTATAATTCCTCCACCTAATATCATATATTGAGCGAATTTTCCGCAAATAACGTTGACTGGATTGTGTAAGTTCCAGAAGACTCTTCATTTTCATTTCTTCTCGTTATCTGTAAACCATAATATTTACGTTTGCTTAGTTTTAAGATTCTTGTGATCACTTGTACACCAGGGTAGTAAGTAAAGAGATAGTCGTTAACTTGCAAGTAGTTTGTCAGAATTTGGTTCTCTCTTAGCTAAGTCATCACTGACGTACTAGACTGCAAACGGGCCCGGCAGCCATTTGATATCAAGATCACTTTGACCTGACTATTAAGTACTACTGGTTGACTTGAGTGATTTCCAACTATTTGTATCACTCAATGGGAATATATCACCATGCAGTTATGATCGTCGACCGCGTTGTAAAGAATCCTCGCACGAGAAAATTTCAGCGTAATTGAAATCATAGTCAACTTGGGCCATGAGGTAACACCTCTGTTATGCTGAAAATATTCGGTTCGCTTTCGGCATTATATAACACATTTTTGATGTGGCAAGCATAAGTCAGTGCAAAATTACAGTTAACTATGAAATAGATGTTTATATGAAGACAGTTTGTTATCATTGGTTAGTGGTTAACATGGCATAAAATGTTTACATCGTTAAACAAAAAAAAATACAAGAACTACCAAATGTGTCCATCCATTTTTAAACCATGTTCGTCGGTGGCACAGCAGTAGAGTGCTCACCGACCACGCAGGTGGTTCGGAGTTCGATCCCTGACAGACTTACTCCTGTACCTCCCTAAGCCGGTAGTAAGACTGGTAAAGAGGGAAGGTTGGGCATGAGGCTAGAAACCCTATCCTGTAAGAATAATAGTCAACACTGCTACAGAAACTTCAAGCCTCTAGTTTGAGTTCCACTGGGAACGTAAAGGAATAAAAAATAAAAAAAATTAAACCAACTATCCGTCTATCTTGAATGAAGTATTAAAGAATTTCGAAGTTCCTTTATTGATATAATAAGTGGGTTATTGAAGGTGAAATGAAAATTTAGATCCGACACTGTACTAGCTGAGTCACGAAGCGCAACCGCCAACCAGGTCATCATTTCACTGGAATCATCTCACAGAATGTCATTTGTGATGTGGCTTTGTGGTTTGAAAGCCACTGGTTCGAGTCCTACCCGAATCCATTTCATTTCATCTTCCTACATCAACCATTACATCAATCAACATTTATCTCAGATAGTCTCACCGTCAAATCCTTTATTGTTTACATACAATTTGTGAATTGTTATTGTTGTTATTATCACTATGCTTTATTATTAATCATGAAAAGGTGTGAACTTGAACAAGATTCTTTTTTTGTTGTTGCGGCAAGTTGTTACTGAATAATCTTCAGCTGTTTCATTGTTAACACATTCAACTCAATTGGTGTTGTACTGAATGATTTTGTGTGTGAATGAGAAAAATGAGACAACAACATGATATTGGGTTATAAGACTATCCTTCGTGTTACTACTTACATACACTAATTTAAACAATTGATTTAAAAGGTGCAAACTTAAATTATGCCATTGTTAATGTCTTTCGTTACTCCACTAATACGATAGAAACATCATGGAAATAATTGTGCTATTTTAGTTCAAAGCTTTTCTCTTAGTAGGGATTCACTTGTCTACATTTCATACGACAGGGACAATAGTTTCTTTGGCCCAATTTTGAACTCACTTATTCAGAACACATTTTTCATGCAACAGGCTATCAGCCACTCTTATCATGTGACCACTGGTGATACTGTTCAGGTGTGCAAACGGCAGTATTCGGAGTGGAACTGGGGACACTTAGACCACTAGTTGAAAGCCAGCAGCACTCGACTCCCAGTTAGTAGGTTCAGGGTTTCAGTCTAGCCCTAGCTACTAATTCAGTCAAAGCAACTGGACAGTATTCATCAGCCTTATATACAAGTGTGGCCTATAGTCTGTTGCATGAGAAATCAGTTCTGGAGAGCTGAATTCTAACATTTAGCTAGTGGGTTCTGACGTCAAATCTCAGTTCGCTTGTTTGAACACTTATTTGATGCCATCTTATTTTGTTTCTCTCTCTCTCACACATACACATACATACTACATACATGCACTAGTCAATACACGTAGGAAATCCATACTGGTCAACTGGTCAAAATGTATATTACAGGTCATTGGTTATAGTAGGTAGACAACGTATGTATAGTTTAATATAGGCTAAAAAGAGAACATGTAATTTTTTTAACCAGCAAACTGTATTTACTCTACTTCCAATCTCTACGCAGACTGACAACAATACAACATCCTCATCCTCCTCCTCATCATCGTCACCATGTATTAGGCTATACAACAAACGGAAAAACAATCATTCTTATTCTCATTCTAATATTCAATGTATGTCATTATTAACTCGGATGGATTTAGTATCATTATCATCAGGTGGTAATGATGATGGTTTGAACATGGAATTGGGTTTAATTGATCCATTCATCAGTTGTGTAGGTTTAGGATATGAGTTAAAAAGATTGAAATGTTTAACTGTACTTCGTCGTGATGCTTATCGGTGTCGTCGCCGTCGTGGGGTTGGTGGGGACTGTGGAAGAGAACGAAATCAAATCTTGTCTAAGTTACCATTATATCCTTATAATCGTTCATGTTCAAGTTCATACTTTATTTTGCTTAAACAAAAATTCAATTATGATCAGTGTTACTGTCGTTATCGTTATCATTGTTACTATTATTACTATTACAACTATGATCCTTCTGTTGGTATTCAACAACAGGCTAACAGTGAAATTATAACCAATGGAAACTCAACTTTTTCATCATATAACTCTTCGCCTATATCGCCTATGATCAAATCATCAATTCAGAGTAATCAATGTATTAATGGTGATAATCATCATAATAATGACGATCATGATCATGATAATATTAATAATAATAATAACATGAATAGTCATCATGTTACTACTACTACTACCAATAATAATAATCAACAAAATGGAATACATGATGATAATAACAGTAGTAGTAGTAATAATAATAATAATATTAGTAATACTATTACTAACAATCATTTTGTTCATCATATTGATAGTGATCATGTTGAAGTAAATTATAGTGCATCTGTTAGTGAACTTTACGATCTCATTGAATATGGCCGAAGCTTACGATCGAATGCATTAGAATTACAACATCAAGGAGCGATTAGTTTGGAACAACTTCTATTCTTGAGTGTAAGTCTATCTTAACTTTTTTTTCGTTAATTTTTTTTGTATTTAGTCAGATGTCTAGAATTTCCTATGCATTTTTCTACTAATACTCATAGAAATGGACTTCTTATCCCCGCATTCATTCATTCATTCAGCTACCTGTGAATAGGTTTATCATTCATGAGGCGTTAAGCTACATTTTATGTGTGTGTGTGCACATGTGTTTGTCAGAGCTGATAATACTTACGATTCATCCTGGCTTGAAGTAGACGGAGTGGAATTCGAACCTTGGACCTAATCGCTAAACCATTTGCGGAGCACTTCAATGTTTCAATGAAAAATTTCATTACAATATGATAGCTTCATTAAAATTGACAATGCATCGGTTGCAAAGCGGTTAAGACGCTCGCCGACCATGCACATGCTCCGGGGTTCGATCCCCGACCAACGAACTCCTTCACCTCGCTAAGCCAGAAATGATGCTGGTAAAAAGAAACACTGCTACAGAAACTTCAAGCCACTAGCTTGAAGCCCTATGTCCCACTGGGGAACGTGAAGGAAAAAAAAAATTAAAATTGACAACTCTTCAGTCTTATTTATTAGTACATTTTTAAAATACTTGTCGATATGGCGAACCTAACTCTGCCTTACTGCTCAGATGATGCCTTAACTTTCATTCTTTTCTTTTGTGAATAAATGGACAGTGTTGAATGTTGGGAGTTAGTCGATAGGGATTTCCGTTCAACTTGGTTAGGACTCTCGCCGACCATGCACATGGTCCAAGGTTCGATTCCCTACCGACGCACACCTGATATCTATGGTCGGCCTGCAAAATTTGGGCTACCGATATCACATGCTGAAAATTCCATACTTGTACCAAAATACAGTGTAGAATCAAGCTGTAATAAAAAAAAGGAGTTATATATTTCCAGTCGCGAGGAGGCTTGTTTTCTTTTCGAATATTTTCTATTCAAAGAGGAATTCAACTGTATTCTATCCTTATGTCCAAGTAAACATATTGACGTATAGTTTTATGAGGTTAGGGAAGCGGTCACAGTAAGATCAGACCGGAGGAATAGCATAATCGATGAAACTGTTCGCCTGAATTATGTAATGTAGACTGTCCGGATAGAACTGCTGATGCACTCTAACTGTTTCTTATACAGTGGAGGAGCACTATTCACACTTATTTCAAATTCCTTATCGTTTATTGCTACTGTTGTATTGTACAATTTTTGACTGCTTTTCCCTTGGATGCTTTATTGAAATGTAGCATCGTGATCTGTTTAGTCTCTGTTCAAGATTCTATCTTGGTCAGTCTTATTTTCATGATACTGGTCGAAATAAACTAAAAGCTAAACTGAAAGAAAAAAAGTGGGTTATAACTGTACCATTTCGGTTCCGGACGCTTTATATAATCGTCTCCTTTTCTTTGGAGGCTGAAAATTCGCCTACAAAGGGCATAATCAAGTGTCAAAGATACTTGTACATTTTAATATTTCTCTGATGAGAAACTGAATTTTATAATTTTCAGGGCCAAACATAATCTATCTAATATATGTTTAATTCATGATATCGCAGGCAATACATCAGACTCTGAAGTTGTATAAAGCTGGTTGTACAAATATTTTGTTGGTACCTAAGTCGAAGTTGAAGGAAATGAGAGGGGGGGGGGAGATTCAGCTAGCCCTTTTAAACAGGGCAAATTCTGCTTTTGCGGGCGATTGCCTCAGTTATGCTTAGCAGTCGGTAGGCGTATATAAACCTAGCGAATTGAGGTGAGAAAAGCTGGTACTATGGATCCACTAGGCGCGGACTGTCCAGTCGTTCTAACAACTGTAACTGTTTCAACTGTACTTGGTGGTCACTAGCTGCAGTCGTTTGTCTTTCATCCTTTCATTGGAATTATAGAACGAATAATAGATCTTATACACAGTCTACTTCATTTACAAGGATTTCCCAGTCGTTGTCTTCGTTACCTCAGTGGAATATGACTTTATCAGCTGGCTTGCACAATTCACTGAAGACATGTTGGTTCATCACATGGAAACACCGAGTATACTATACACACTAGTCAATTTTGCTAACGCGCCTACCTAACAAGGGAATTGCTTTTTTTTTTTACTTATCACCTTGCCTTTATTTTTTTCTTTTAAAACACTTTGTAGAGTGCATTCAGTTTGGTTGCATATCAGAATCCTTACAGAAGTCCTCTCAGTGGCCTGTTACATCCAAAACATCGAGAATTATTAGCCGACGCTGTAAATGATGCTATACTGGGTAAATACTATTTTAATTCGGTGTATTTTAGAAAATTCGGATAAACTGTATTCACGTTACTCCATTATTTCTTTCCTTTCATTGTGTCACTTTGTATAAACCGTTTTAGTAAGTTGTTTCTGTGACTAGACAAAAGATTTCTGCGAAAGACATTCTCTTCATTTCTTTTTCGTATTTTAACAATCGAATGTGTGCGTGTGTGTATGTGTGTGTGTGTAAATTACAGTAGACAACAACGAGTAAGTTGTGTGTGTGTGTGTGTGTATTTGTTAAAATTGCCATTTAGTGTCAAATTTCATCGCGTACAACAAAATTACTTGTTGTTGACTGTTGTAATGTTGATTTCTTAAGTCACTAACACTGTGTTCTTCAAGTGTGTCACCCTGCATTCCATACACTTTCGCTCATGATGTGTTATTCAGCGTGCCGTCTGTTCCACTCACAGACAATCTAGTTACTGAGACCATGTTTCATGTTACCAGTGGCTCAAGTATGCTGTGGCAGCTTCTGACTGCTTTTATAGTAAATGTATATTCTAACCAATTAGGCTTTGCATTGCTTATATAAGCGGTGTCTAGTTTTATGCTTAAAAGCCTTGTATACACTGTTATACTCACTGTTCATTGAAATGAATTGACTGGCGATAATATGTTTCAACGTACTCTCAGAGCACACTGGTGTTTGTTGATGAGACGTCCTTCGGAGCCGCGAGCAGATTTTATTCTTTGTCTTCATGACATTTTCACTTATGAATTTGGATAGCGTTATTAGAAGACGGAGGTTATCTGACCTTGAAGGCTGAGTTATCATCAGTCTTATGGTTCACCTCGATTAGGTGTTAGATATAGACGAGGTTGGTGGTCTGACACCTGCATCTATTGGTTTTCCACAATTCATTTGTTTTTTTAGTCATTTTGGGATATGCTCTCCCATCCTCACATGTGTGACCACACACACACACACAATAATTGGTAAATAATGTGGGAAGCGACGTAATCACTTGTGCACTTTTGAGGTTTTCAGTGGAGCATATTTTTGGCTTTTTCGACAATTACAAGCTGGGCTGCATAATAGGTTCTAGGGATGTTTGATCAGATTGTTCGAAATGTATAGCTCGAATACATCACATCACATTTTTCAGATAATCTCCGTCTTCTAATAACGCTATCCAAATTTATATAAGGGACTAATTATTTTAAATTTTCACTTATACTTTTGAGAGGGTTAATAACTAACTTTGGGATGTACTCGAAGTTATAACTATCTGCAGTATTAAATACTTATACTAGCCTTTTGAATGTTTGGTGTTGTCTAGGAATAGATTCCAGTGTGTGCATAGCTGCACAATACGGTCTTCGCTATGTGTTCGGTAACTATCTAATCCTTACTAATCGCCTAATTGACTCTGAGCCTATACGTCTCATGCATGCATTTGAACCCCGGCTAACACTACTCCATTCATACTATATCAGTATAAGAATCTCTCTGATGGCAACCAATCACAGTTAAGGCCACCTGTGGGGTTCCCTTTACTTTTCTCATGGTAGTTGTTGGCACCATTGCTGTCTAAATTAACAGTGGGAAGATCAGAAGAAAAGCAATACACGGGATGCAATAGCCGTTAGAAATGTCGAATGGAGTTGTTATATATATATATATATATATATATATATATATATATATTTATTATTATTGTATCTTTTAATTCCTAGAGGAACATAGGGTTTCAGCTGCGCATCTCCATTGCCTTCGGTTTTCCGCCAACGTTTTCAACCCGCTCCAAGACTGCCCACACGCTCTCATATCCTCTTCACATGACCTCTTCCAAGTCACCCTTGGACAGCTCAACTCGCCGCTTCCCTTTCGTGTTTCACTCGAGGGTTTGTCTAGTGATGTCACTTGATGGTTTTCTCAGAGTAAGGCCGATCCAATCCATCTCCATTTCTTCCTGCTTATTTGTTTCACAACCCTGTTCCTGATTGGTTCGCTCATTGCCAGAGATCCCTGTTGCTAATCTTTTCTGGACATCTGATCTTGAGTGAAGACAACTGTTAATGAAGGTCTGAAGTTTGTTTGAGATGCTCTTTATGACGCGCTGGCCAAGTCTCTGATCCATCCGTATAGTGAGTAGCACAGACTGACTTCACATTGGAGTTGAAAATCCGGATCTTATTTTTGATGGTGAGCAGTGCTGTTGACCTCCACACAGACTTAAGGGTAATGAATGCATGTCTTGCTTTTCCGATTCTTTCTTTGATATCCTCGTCAGTTCCGCCTGTACTTGAAACGATGCTTTCTTGGTAGGTGGGTAGGTAAAGGAGGTTGTTTCTTTCAGGTTCCTCCCATTTATGCTGGCTGATTGTTGTCTGTTGTTGTTGGTGTTGGCCAGGAATATTCATATATATATATATATATATTAGAGAAATGTTATCGTTTGCGCTTCCACTTAGCTAAATCAATCAGATCATATGTAGTCACGTTCAATATTTTTTCCTTATTCTAAACATATATATCTGTGAGAAATTTCTGAGAATATTTTTTTCCTGAAATTCACAATTCATCTTAAAATTTAGAAACTCTGAAAAAATAATTCTATCTTATTTCTACTGATAATCTAAATTCCGTCAGTAGTCAGTTATCTGGTTCGCACAAAGTGCAATTGGTTGTTTGTTTTTCACTCAGTATTTTTTTATGTGTAATGCAAATCATAGAAGTTATTTTAATCGATCACAATCTCATAGAATTTATGTAAATTTTTGTGCTTAATTGAACACTGAACCATTCATAGGATATATACATTCTGAAACCAATGCATCCACAGTATATTTGATTTTTTCTTCTTCAAGGATTCATTTTTTGTAGAGAATTTAATTGACTTCAGGTTACATCAACGCACTGGTATTCAGGTAGAGAACCATTGAAAACCAGGTAGTACTAAACGACTGTTTCTTACGCCTTCACTGGGATTCTAGAGCAGTATGGCACCCTTGATCTCACCGGCCATTGAACCCACAACATGTTGGTTACGGGACCAGCTCGTATGATGCGGTCGGATCGCCTATGAATTCTAACTTCTACCTGTTCTCAGGATACTGCGCCACCGCCAGGTAAGGCAGTCGGCATATATCTGTCCTCACGCTCAACTCGGTTGTCAATAGTTTTCTGACTGACGTCGTTTAGTAATGGAATCTTATTTAAAACCAATCGAATCCCAACTGATGACCACTCTTTGAAAATATACAGTTAATACTGGTGCAGTTGAGCATTTTGGTCTGTGTGGGTTGGCTCCCTCTATACTTATAATTCTCGATTTCCTGTGTCAATTCTCTTTACTAGGACATCTCAGAAAGCACTTTTGTTGTGTGATTCCTCTCTTCTTACCAATTCCATGTCCCGAAACACAGTCGCTGATTCATTTATGAGTGCTATCTAAGTCATATCTTCTAATTATTATACAGGTTATGGTTACGTAACGTATCCAGTTCTGGGTTTGTACATTGTTATAGCTGTGGTCTACAGTCTTCGCATAAAGGCTTTAGCAATTAGTCATGATGTGATCCAGGTTGGCTTTCATTTTAATTCTTGTCATCCCAACATTGCTTCAGAGATTTTGTTGTTATACAGGCTTGATTTACGATATCTCATACTGGTAGCGCTTTTCTTTCGGTTTAATACCTAATACGTGTGAGTGATGTATTCGGTGTCCGCTCTAAGTATTTTAGCCTATAAAACTGTAGTAAATGAGAGGCAACTGATAATCCTTTTGCCATGATTCAGTGTTCCAGTAGATAAACTTTATTTTTTTCTAGTTTATTTCAAATGTATATTATATTGCTCATATGATATAATTAAATTTATTTTATCTTCTTTTTTCTAGTACATTTAAAACAACCTTCTCGACCTGTTTTGGATATCGCCTTAACATATCTGGAGCATGTTTTAACTGATGAGGGGACATCATGTAAAAATACCGGTTCATTTCCTTGTTATCGTTTTAAAAATGGTCATTCGAATCCAAGCACTCCTTCAAATCCTCTGCAAACTATTGGCAGTCAACAATTACAATGTGATGATGTATTTACTGCGACCAGAGTAAGTCAGGCTAACAACGAGTCAACAACACCTGTTACTCGTGGTACTCCGACTACGCCTAGCCGAACTACAGTGGTCAGCGGAAGTCGTAGGGAAGGGGAATCACGTTATGCAACAGCCGATGTTCAAACGTATGGTTTAGCCTCGGGAGATTTTACTGAAAATTCTAATGGTTCTACAAATCTACTTCGTCCTGCTAGTACTTCAGTTATTTCTAGTTCACTTTATGTTCCGCCTTCTGCTTTAATCTCTCTTACCGGTCGAAGTAATCCAGTAACTAGGAGTTCTGATTCACAGAGATCATCATCTCGTGTACGTCCAACAAGTCTACAGAATTTAATTCAACAACGACGTCAATCACAGTCAACGGACCAACCGACAGCTTCATCTCCATCTCCGTCATCATCATCATCACATTTTAATCGTTTTCTAATCACATCATCTAATTGGCCGGTTTCAACGCCTGTTTCATCAGCATCGACAACAACAACTACTACTTCACAGAATCCTAATCGTTTCTCTCCTTCACGAATAACAGTCACCTCTTCCCTTACTAATACACATGCACCGACTGGACCTGAACTGGCAGGATTTTTCCATCCAATCTTATTTATAGGATGAAGTAATGCTTAAAAGAATACAAAAATTTTTTTCCTTCCCTCTTCTTTCCCTTTTATACATCATACATGTTCTGAGATTAGACTATTCCCTCCTCTCGCCCATTCTCCTTTCACTTCCGGCACATACGCGCACACACACACACGCACCTAGAAGCAACCTGCTGTTTTTTCTCTTTCTTGTTTTTGTTCCCGTTTTTAAATCTCTACACTCTAGACGATCTTATTCAGCCTACCTTCTATTTACCAATGTAAGTATATTCCCTCATATGTATTTCTTATCTTATCGCTTTCATATACAATATGTTACACACTGACTTGTAGTTGATTATTATTAACATTATTATTTATTATTTAATTGGTAATTTTAGATAATATTTAATTTTTTTGTAATTAAATGATTATTTTTTAAAAGTACTCATGCAATATATATTCTCAAGTGTGATCACTGTTTGTGTGTGTGCATGTGTATGTCTATATACATGTACACATGATTATATCCTGCAGGCAAACAGAAAATGCGGCAAATAAAGACAGGTGCATATTTTGATGAATGAAACAGGAAGAAATAAACCATCACATCAACTGGGATGTGTGGGGGTGGGGGAAAGGATAGACGTGCATGTCTACATGTGCATTATTGTATCCAGGTTCTTTCTTATTAAAGTAGTAATAATTATAATTACTGTTGTTATCACTATTATTGTGCTATTGGTTACTCACGTCACCCTCCGTGTAGGGTGTCTGTTAGTAACAGCACGAGTGATTTATGCTTCTCACCACTCGTAGAGAGAGTGTGTGTGATGACGAAGAGAACAGGAATTATTTACTTTCTTTAATTTTTTTTTACTGTAATGCACCACTTTCATTATTTTGATAGGCGTTAGTTTTTTTTACATTTTATCTCTGTGTCTTTTTTCATTTTAATCATCTAATATTTCACAGAATGAATTTAAAAGACTTAGCGCTTTGTCGATCAATATTGACGGTGGTGATTCAGTTAACTGCTTCATTTCTTTCTCTCTCTCTCATATTACTACTAATCCCTTTCTTTTTCTTCCCATCCATTTCATTTGATCCTGTTAATTATTTTGCATTCTGTGTACAACTAGTGTATACCTACCTTTGTGAGTAGGTGAGTGTGTGTGTGTGTTTATGGATGGATGTCACCTTAACAAATGCACTCTACTTCTTTCTGGCTAATTGATAAACTGTGAAGTATTCTTGATTCGCTACGAAATATCCTACTATGCTGTTATCGCTGCAATATTACACATCACTTAATTGATACAAAAACTACAAACACTATCAAATGTGTTACACATACACAAACAACACTTACTCGCACCCATCTCTGTTGTCAACATATTCTCTCAGCGCATATATATATATATATATATAACTGTGTTAATATACACTCGCCCCTTAATCAACATCCCATTTATTTACTGTCCTTACTTCGTTTCTGTGTTTCCTTCCTTGACTGGTTGGTTATTTTAATATAACCAAAGGAAAACGATTATTTTACTTTCTAATTACTTTTGATTTAACTGACTTCTTCGTGTAGCTACCCTTTGTGTATGTGTGTGTGTTTGAGCGCGTACGTACGTACGTCCTATTTCTGATTCTTTTTTTACTGTTCTGTCCCCCTTTTTATTTACTGAGTACATTTTGTTTTTAAGAAATTATGAATGAATGAATTCTATCACTTCTTTTTATACCTAAGCAAGCGAATGTCATATAACTTCATGAGTATATAAATGTATGCTGCATAACCTTAGTGACATTATTATTATTAATATTATTATTATGTAATCAGTGAGAGACTGTTGAGCGGTGTTGGTTGGTTACGCTGACAATGGATGATTGGATGATGCTTGTTTGTGTGTGTGTGTGTGTGTGCATGTGTTTTGTGGCAATGAATGAGTATATGACTATGAGTGTAATATTTTGTTTGTCCAATCAAACAAAAGTAATGTGATAAAAGTATTCGGGTGTATGTGTGTATGTGTGTGTTTGTGCATGGATTCACGCGATTTAGATTTGGGAGAGGGACAGATTTTCGGTTTTATTATGTTCTAACATATTTTCTTTCAGACTGTTATTATTATTATTTTGCACGATTGATGAGTTGTTGTTAATGAAATTATTATAATAAAAAACAATTAATATTATTATTTACATTGCTAATACTGACTGAATGTTTTTACAGAAAATAAATAAAATTTCACTTACATTCGCCGACTTTGCTGTTTGTTTGCGTCTTTTAATTCCTTCGGGCTCCCAATGGAACATAGGGCTTCAGGCTAGAGCTGTGGAATTTCGGTAGCAGTAGTGTTTATTTTTACGGGGTGGGATTGCTAGTCTCATGCTCAACCTTCCCTCTTTGTTTGGCTTATTTACCGGTTGATCGAGGTTTGGAAGTATGTCGACCGTAGATCGAACCTCCGGTCACCTGCGGGGTTGGTAAACAGTCTACCTCTGCGCCACCGACGTTTGTGTGCATAGGTGAGCATTAGTCACATATGGAATATGTCAATTTACTGTTGAATCAGTGATTTTCTTAAAATTCTAGAGGTATATGTTGTATCACAAAAGGAAAATGTTAAGTTATACGCATTCAACTTAAAAACCTATGGTATCGTATTTATGAACCAACATCCAAAGTTGAATGTAAAACGAATTACTTACACATGACCAAACAATTGAATAGCAATATCCTTGCCGTGAAACTTGATAATCCTAGACTCCATCCATCTTGTAGTTGGTACTGGAGGGATGTTTCATTTTTATGAAACAATTGGAGAATATTTGTAGCTCAGATGAATGTTGTCGGTGTTGTTTTATTTTTTGAGTTCGATGGCGTAATTGCGAAGCTTTCATTGTCCTTTCAGAAAAGAAAAAAAACTCCCATCGCTAATGTCATTGTCAGTTGAACACTGGTGGACTGCATAAATTATTGGGCTATCTAGTCAGTTGTTTCATCCTAGTTTGGGTCTCTTCTGCAGTACGAACCCACCGGGATTCGAACCAAGACCTTCTGGCTACAAGGCGAGGGTGTAGACCATTAAGCCACTGGGACCCAATTCAGTTGGCCCATGAATTCTAACTTCTGTCAATTCACGACATAGCGCAACCACTAGCCAATGTCTTCAGCGAGTATTCGTCCTCACACCCGAGCTGCTGCATCCTACTGGTCACAACTTCTTACTAGAACCCCAGGTAACTACCTACCTGAATAGGGCCAGTCGCTAGTGAGCATCTCATTGAAATTCAATTGTTGTTTTGTAGGGACTCGATTGGTTGATTGGAAATCCTGTAACCAATCAAATCCCTACAAAACAACACTCGAATATTGGGCTATCTATTTATGCATCCATCAGAATGTATCATATTTACTCTGTTTCATGTTGTTTTTAAATTATCCAATTCCATCTCGGAATTGCAGTTTATACCTGCGTGTATTTCCATACACGATTCAACCTACTACCGCTATGGATTTTTTGACGGAAACAGAGAAAAAGCATATACCAGGTTATTAGAGCGTGTTTTGCAAAAACCAAGAAACCAGAAGTTTTTTCAGCCTAAATTGAAATCAGGTAGTGGTGAACATGAAGATGTACGAAAAAAAAGGCGGTGAGTAACTGCTTTGTGCTTGTCTTTGATTCTTCATTAGTACGACCGAACTGGTGATCATATAACGGACTGAGATTAATGTGTTGTTTGTCTGCTCTTCCCATCTTCTGATAACTGTCTACAAGAATCATGAGCTTAATAAGCAGTTAGTGCTTTTCGTCACTCTGTGAATGACTGGTATACATTTTAAACATTTGTTTGACTTTTAAATGTATCACCACACCCATTCATACTTTACATCATAGATTACACCTTGATGATTACAGGCATTCTTTTCGGTGTTGATAGTTCTAATGACAAATGTATATATATATGTGTGAGTGTGAGTCTGGAGGTGGAGAGAGTAGAGAAGATATATGATAATCGTTACAGTATGGATCTCGACTTTTCTCTGGCTAGGTTTTTGTACTACTTTGAATAAAAAGAAATACATTCTAAATTATAAAATTAATTGTTCCGAATGAGACACAAGGTTTCAACGAGACATCTCCAATGTAAACATTGGTCAGTTGGCTTTCCTAAGGCTCTTACCAACCTTTTTTGTTCTTTGAAGTTTCAGTACAGGTAAGGTTGTTTCTCACGAAATGGGATTGTTAGCCACGCCCCCACTCTTCCCTCATTATCAGGCTTAGGACGGGTTGGTTAGTAAACTATGCGAGGCCATATAGTAATTGCACTTATTTCTTGATTTGTCCCTAGATGGATTTGGGTGTGTATGTTGTTACTAACGTATCGAAAATCCTAAACAGACTAAATGTTACAGTATTTTTTTGTTTAATTTAAATCAATATTTAGTTGACTGATATGTTTGACATTCTGTTTTTTAAACAGAATTTCATTTGAAATCGATATTAGGTGCATCGCGTAGTGCACATATCAAACTGTTTAATTCTACTTCTTTTTTCTCTCCTCAATGGTTAACTTGCTGACGAAAATCTACCTTCACATGATATCAAAATGTGTACTAGCTGTAAGTGTTAGAAAACCACCTTATAAATTAGAAAAGGCTTATTATTATTATTCTATTCTTAAATTCTAAAGGGCTTCAGTAGTGCACACATGTATTGCATTCGGTACTCTGCCGTTACTTTTAGCTGACTTCATGACTACTCATAAACTTCCATTTCCTCGTCACATGGTTCTGTATGTCACTCTCGGACACACGCCTAACTCATCGCTTCCTGTTCGGGCTTCAATGGAGGGTCTGGCAAGGAATGTTATTCAACAGTCTCAGCGTATGTGCAATCTACCTCCATTAGTCTTGTGCATATGCGTTGGGTGATAGGTTCTTCATTGTCCGGTTATCTTTCCCGGACGGCCATCTGTTTTCCAGTATTGTTTCAATGAAGGTGTTAGTCTGTTGGGAATGCTTTTGGTGATCAACGCTCCAATTCTCTGAACCATACTGACTTAAAATTGCTGTCAGCATAAAGCGGACCAATACCAATTGAGCCATAGATCATACTAGTTGAATTCCATATTAGTTTGTTTATTAGATGTATCACACAGTGAGACAGTATTAAATATGGGCTCCAAGGTTTTCCAATGGTTCTCTAACTAATGTCAGCTCATGATGAAATCCTGAAACCAATCAAATCCCTACAAACCAACACTTAAATATGGAATTACTTACTATCCACAGTACCCAAGTTTTAAACATATATTCATACTGGTTGATAATGTAACCGAGTGAGTATTACTGTATTACTCTTGCAGGCCTCCTTTCAACTGGTATCAGGATACAGGACACTTATTTATCACTAAATATGCTATGAAAATACTTTAGCACAGTCGAGTAACTGTCATTTATATTTGACAGCGTCGATCGAAAGGTGATTTGGGAACTACTTCGCTACTATGGAGTGCCATCGACAGTTATACATCTCATCCAACAGTTGTAGGACAATGCTGCATGCCATGTTATCCACAACGGGAAACTTACGAAAGCCTTCGAAGTGAGGACGGGACTGAGACAAGGCTGTCTACTATCGCCAATGATTTTCCTGATCGCAGTAGATTGAATAATGAGACAGATAACGGGCAGCGAGGAAACACGCATAAAATGGACTCACACAAAGAACTTGGAGGATCTGGACTTCGCCGATGATATATGTCTGATTTCCCACAATCTGGAAGACATGCAAGTGAAAAGCAACAAGCTGACAGAAGAACCACCCAGAGAAGACAGGCCTTCAAGTGAACATAGAGAAAACAGAGGTGATGAAGATTCCTGGCCAACACCAACAACAACAGACAACAATCAGCCAGCATAAATGGGAGGAACCTGAAAGAAACAACCTCCTTTACCTACCCACCTACCAAGAAAGCATCGTTTCAAGTATAGGCAGAACTGACGAGGATATCGAAGCCAGAATCGGAAAAGCAAGACAAGCATTCATTACCCTTAAGTCTGTGTGGAGGTCAACAGCACTGCTCACCATCAAAAATAAGATCCGGATTTTCAACTCCAATGTGAAGTCAGTCTGTGCTACTCACTATACGGATGGATCAGAGACTTGGCCAGCGCGTCATAAAGAGCATCTCAAACAAACTTCAGACCTTCATTAACAGTTGTCTTCACTCAAGATCAGATGTCCAGAAAAGATTGGCAACAGGGATCTCTGGCAATGAGCGAACCAATCAGGAACAGGATTGTGAAACAAATAAGCAGGAAGAAATGGAGATGGATTGGATCGGTCTTACTCTGAGAAAACCATCAAGTGACATCAGTAGACAAACCCTCGAGTGGAACACGAAAGGGAAGCGGTGAGTTGAGTTGTCCAAGGGTGACTTGGAAGAGGTCATGTGAAGAGGATATGAGAGCGTGTGGGCAGTCTTGGAGCGGGTTGAAAACGTTGGCGGAAAACCGAAGGCAATGGAGATGCGCAGCTGAAACCCTATGTTCCTCTAGGAATTAAAGGAAATAATAATGCAAAAATACCATTCAAAGATTTTGTTTGAGTCAGTTTTTGTTTTTCCCGTTGATTAATTTAACCGTCTCATTAGGAACGCCATCACTCTCTGGAGATTGCTGGTACATCCAGCTGACTAGTTTCAAATAGGACAAAATGTGCATTGCAGATTCTACTGCTAATCACCATCCACCAAATAGCATCATTTACATAATTTAAATATAGAATAGAATAGATTACCTGTTTTTCAGCTGATGACATTCAAATTCTATAGTTGTATCTTCGTAGGAGTTAACAACAATAACAAGGTGAATGCGAATGATTACATCTCAAACTATTGTTATTGCAACACAATTCATATTGTATTTGAGTATGACAACCTCTGCAAATAGGACAATAAACTGATAGATGATGGACAGCGAAACAGTCACAGAAAGTGAGTATAAATAATTCAACAAAGAGACTCTTCCCAAAGAATACGTTATCAGGCTGTATATATATATATATATGACTTTCGTTTTGAGGCACTACTGTGTATTGTGACGAAGTATTTATAATTATAATCATAGCTAAAATCAGTTATGTAATTTGTATAATGGTCTATGGAATGAATAAATTTTAGAAGGGTATGCAGCACTAATAAGATTAGTGTTACTCAACAAGGCGAAAATCAGAATAGCACAGCATTATGGAAAGTTCATATTGTATTATATAAATAAGCGGTGAAAATTTTTGATTGGATACTAGTGTAATGTGTCTAGTCCTATCTTCGGTGCAGACTGAAT